CACTAACACCCAGGATGCCACCCACACCAGTCCACTAACATCCAGGAAGTGACCCACACCAGTCCATTAACACCCAGGATGCCACCCACACCAGTCCACTAACACCCAGGATGCCACCCACACCAGTCCACTAACACCCAGGATGCCACCCACACCAGTCCACTAACACCCAGGATGCCACCCACACCAGTCCACTAACACCCAGGTACCTATTTGTTGCTAGGTGAACAGGACAACAGGTGTAAGGAAACGTGTCGAAATGTTTCCACCCGCCGGGAATCGAACCCGGGCCCTCCGTGTGTGTAGCAGGAGCTTTAGCCACCAGGCCACAGGGCCACTAGCCACCAGGCCACCGGGCCACTAGCCACCAGGCCACCGGGCCACTAGCCACCAGGCCACCGGGCCACTAGCCACCAGGCCACCGGGCCACTAGCCACCAGGCCACCGGGCCACTAGCCACCAGGCCACCGGGCCACTAGCCACCAGGCCACCAGGCCACTAGCCACCAGGCCACCAGGCCACTAGCCACCAGGCCACCGGGCCACTAGCCACCAGGCCACCAGGCCACTAGCCACCAGGCCACCAGGCCACTAGCCACCAGGCCACCGGGCCACTAGCCACCAGGCCACCAGGCCACTAGCCACCAGGCCACCGGGCCACTAGCCACCAGGCCACCGGGCCACAGCCTAAAAAAAATATGCCTGTAAGGGGGGTTTCCCTGAATGTTGTTCAATTTCACCCTTTTGGAATTCAATATGGTAGATGGGCTCTTGATCCAGGGAATTTGATGTCTTTTTCCAGGCGTTGTGTGACCCCCATACGAGCTTAGAGCTCTCTCAGGGATGTAAGAACAGCCTGGATGTTGCTGCTGCAACATTACTCCTGATGAAGTACTGACTGCAACGTGAGAGGCCCCAGAGCTATCATTCAACTTCCCCCGGGGTTGTTTTGTACCTTTTATTGCTTTATATGAAAGCTTTATAAGCTTACTGGTATATATAGAGCTTTATAAGCTTAATGGTATAGAGCTTTATAAGCTTACTGGTATTGAGCTTTATAAGCTTACTGGTGTAGAGCTTTATAAGCTTACTGGTATAGAGCTTTATAAGCTTACTGGTATAGAGCTTTATAAGCTTACTGATATAGAGCTTTATAAGCTTACTGGTATAGAGCTTTATAAGCTTACTGATATAGAGCTTTATAAGCTTACTGGTATATATCAAAGAGCTTTAAAAGCTGACTGGTATATATAAAGCTTTGTAAGCTTGCTGGTATATATTGAAGAGCTTTGTAAGCTTACTAGTACTTATAAAGCTTCGTAAGCTTACTGGTATATATAGATTATTATTATATTATTATAATCAAGGGGGAAGCGCTAAACCCGGAGGATTATACAGCGCCTGGGGGGGGGATGTGGAAGGCATTCAGGCTTAATTCGGGTAACTGGAGCACAGATCCAATTCCCTAAATCAAGAGCCCCTCACCAACATCAAGGAACCTTCCTTGAGGGGGGTATATATAGAGCTCTATATTTTTACTCTAACTCGGTTTTAAGGGAAAATTCATGACACAAATACATATTATATATTTTTTTAGTTATTTAAATTATATTCGACCGGTCAAATAATTCTTAAATTATTCAGTAAATGAACCAGCCTCTAGAAAACCATACTGACAAGATTATTATTAAATAATGTGTGTATAATACACGTTTTTGTTAATATATTATTCAGAAGGAAGTGCTAAACTCATATGGGTCATACAGCACTGCATATTGAAGGAACGGTTAAGTTAGTCAGCTGTGGGAAAGAGATTTTTGGTTATCGTTCGACTTATCGTAACTTGAAGTGAACCAATATGCCTTTTTTGTGGTTATTATTACAATCAAAGAAAGTGCTAAACTGACAAGGGTTATACAGCGCTGTTTTGTGATACAGATGCTCTTCGACTTAGGCCTAAATTATTCTCTACTAGACGTATCAAAGCCACGTAGTGTTACCTAATAGAATACAGTGGACCCCCGGTTAACGATATTTTTTCACTCCAGAAGTATGTTCAGGTGCCAGTACTGACCGAATTTGTTCCCATAAGAAATATTGTGAAGTAGATTAGTCCATTTCAGACCCCCAAACATACACATACAAACGCACTTACATAAATACACTTACATAATTGGTCGCATTCGGAGGTGATCGTTATGCCGGGGTCCACTGTATTCAATTCTCTCGTACTTACTGTAACTATCTAATGACCATATTAACTATTATTACTTTCCTAATCTTAAGTTAAAATTTAAGTTTGCCCTAAATGCTCTACATACAAAGGGGCTTTTGGTATGTACACCCAAGTATTATACATGTATTCCTCTGTACTACCATGTATCACGTCAAAATAAAAATTATCATTCTTATTCTTTGGATAATTCAACTTTACGATGGTGCGGCAGCAATTACTTCGGAAGTGAAGCTTGAGATAATTACCAACATGAACGCAACAAGTCCCTAACTTATATTCCTTTATTGACTTTTTATTACTGGTGTTTAGTTACAGTATTTATTTACCTATTCAGTGGCAGTACTTATTTATTTATCTAGCATATTGTATTCATGTTCAACTTACGATGGATTCGTCAGAACATAACTCCATCCTAAGTCGGGTATCACCTGGACTCGGGTTAGAGTTTTGAGATTTTGTCGTTACTCTTCGGCGAGGTTCTTCATTATATTCACTTTTCAATTGTTCACTGGGATAATGCTGGCAAAGACCTCTTCATCCAAGGCATGGGAGCTACCCTCATCTTCCTCAGATGAAACCCAGTTACTTCTTACTGTACAGATGTGTTGTGGCCCCCATGGAGTCAGCACTTCATGTATATTAGTAATACTATCTTATTGATGTTCTATATGATCCTTGTAAGTTTAGTCAGTGGGGGACCTACATTTTTGGGGCCCTGAAGCTTGAGCTGTTATGGGGGCCCCTTCTCATAGACCCAAAATTTTATAACAATGTGGACTAAATTGGCTTCTGGGGCCCCTCTGGGATTAGGGGCCCTGAAGCTTAAGTTTCATTATTTTCACAGTAGATTTGCCACTGGGTTTAGTGCTTTAGTGTGAAGTATAAGTTGATTACAAATACTTTTCCATAATTCCCAGGTCAGTCGACTGGAATCATTAAGGTTGAATTAATATAACCATGGGGAAGCACTAAACCCATAGGATTAAACAGCACATGGGGGGAGGGGGATGGAAGGTATTCAGGCTCAATTCAGAGAACCGGAGCACAGATCCAATTCCCTAGATCGAGAGCCCCTCACCACATCAAGGAACCTTCCCTGAGGGGTTAATTATTATAGAAAGGGGTTTTGGTAATATTATTTTAATAAAAAAATGAGAAAGATAGTACACAACGAATCAGGACTAATCTTAGATTGTTGATATGTTTCACAGAGGCATCGGGTGTAACATCAGCCTGCCGCTACTTACAAAGATAACATCAAAGAGAAACCTCAGGTATGGTTATCTGTTTTCAATTATTTTTTAAAACCGGCGTCCCACGAGGCGGGCGACCTAAAAAGATGGAAATGTACTTTCAAATCACGTCTCTGCCAGAGATTGCACTGATGTACATTCAACTGACCCACAAACTACAGTATTCCTTCCTTCGAATGTCAGGCTATCAGATCACCAGGTTTCAGAGTGTCGGGGGTAAATGATAATGGCGGGCTCTAATTATGTATATTATATTATTATTATTATAATCAATGGGGAAGCGTAAACCGTTAGGATTATACAGCGCCTGGGGGTGATTTGGAAGGCATTCAGGCTTAATTCGGGGTAAACTGGGAAGCACGATCCATTCCCTAAATCTGAGTCCCTCACCAACATCAGGAACCTTCCCTAGGGGTTATTATGTATAGAAATGGGGTTTTGTATACTTATTATTTAATAAAAATGGAATAGATAAGTACAACGACAAGTATTAAGGACATAATATATGTGTTTGTTAGACTATGTATGTACACTAGAGTTAAACACAGTGGAACGGTTTTCAACGTGGTTTTCATGACTTTATTGGCTGTTTTTTTTTGGGGTTATTAATTGATAGAAGGAAACACATTACTGAATTGAGATGATTTTTTGCTGGGCTTATGGATCAGAAGTGAACTTGTGTTGAGATGTTGAAATGTTTTATACTGGGGTTTGGTGGGGTTTTATGGGGTTTTTAAAGATTTTTGGATAGCGGGTTAGGTTAGGGTTATTTATGAGGGATGACACGGACTTCCCAGTGAAAGCATAACTAGAGGAATGATGTGTTATCACCATGGGTTATTTATATTATTATTATTATAATCAAAAAGAATGGGTTATTTATAGTTGGGGTTATTTATACTTGGGGTTGGAAAGGAAGTAAATACCAGGTTGTCGGGGAGAATTGTGTTGTTAAAAGATAACATTAAATATAGAGTGGGAGTTATCAGTTGCTGCTTGTCGGTTGTTTTATTACAATCAGAAGCGCTAAACCCACAAGGATCATACAACACTGCTGCTTGCCAATGACATGGTTGTTTGGGGAGTTTCTGAAGAAAAGTTGCAATGGTTGGTGGAGTACCTATGTGCATTTTTTTAAAGAAGTTTGCTACCAAATGTCACTTCGAAGGAAGTTCCTTGATGCTGGTGAGAAGTTACTGATCCAAACATTGATTATTATTATTATAATCAAGGGGGAAGCGCTAAACCCGGAGGATTATATAGCACCTGGTGGGGGGGGGGATGTGGAAGGCATTCAGGCTTAATTCGGGGAACTGGAGCACAGATCCAATTCCCTAAATCAAGAGCCCCTCACCAACATCAAGGAACCTTCCTTGAGGGGTCCAAACATTGATGCTAGCTTCCCTTTACCTTGGATCAAACCTGATTACTTCTCATATCCATAGACGTTTAGCAGTCTTCCTCAAACACATTAAAATATTAGGCTGCATTAAAGGAGAAATGAGTAAGATACACTGTAACACATTTATTACAGAGTTGGTTATATCAGCATTAGTAATCTTGTGCACCAGCTTATACCAGGCCAACATGAAGCTCACACATCTAGCACCTCTCACGGTATCAATCCACAGGGTATAATATATGAGAAAATATGAAACAAGTGTAAAGGATATGAGGAGCCTCGAGACAAGCGTTCCTAGTCGTGAAGATTGTGGCCGTATCTTCGCGGTTGTCGCGAACTAACCTGTGTAAAACAATTCTCCGATAGCCGTGATGCAACTTTAATTTTGGATATATTAGATAACGAATTAATAGTCGAACCAACAAATATAGACACGGTGGTCAAAACAACATAACTGTTGGGTTTGTGATGTCACACACAACAGATCTTTAAGAAGTTTTCATAGTTGGAGGGAGCAGATATCTATATACTACTAATATACAAGGCTGGGGTGACTTTTAATGCATTAAAAGTACTGCAATATGTTCCGACCCTCTCGTAATTTAACTTGTCGGTGATAACACATCCTACGCCGTCTTAAATTAACAAAAAATCCCTTGCTGCTACTTAGGACACTTGCTCACAAATGTTCTTGGAATTTTACTAAATAAGTATTGATTTATGTGCGTCAAAGAATAACACAGTTACCCATGCTGAGTCGACGGAAAACTTCACATGGAACTTACGCTCTTAAAGCTTAAGATTTATCATTATTTTTGTTGTATTTAAAAATAGTCAGTGAAGAGAAAGCAGCGGTGGATGTCCCACAAACTCAACGAAACAACGTATTTGAACACAAAATATATTCTAATGCTGAATAAAAATGATTCGCTGAAATTACGGACGAGACTCGTACGTCCATAATGCGTCGGGACAATGGAATAATGAAGATAGATACTAGAATAACACTCCATATCTGGCAGGATTATAGTACACTGTATTAATTTTGATGAATTAAAAAACCACTATGAGTGAGAATTTGAATCAAATGAAGAAAATCGCATAGCGACAGAGCAGTGTTTTATAATTACCGCGCATCAGTGCTCTGATGAGCGATACACTTGTTATTAAGCAAGCTAGGTATATTATCTCATTATATACAAAAAAATAACTCAGCTTATAAATTGTTCTTGGGAGCTCCAATTGCAAAGTTCTTAAGAGTTTATTTGTCAACACAGATTTGTATTTAATGACGATTCTTTGCTATAGATCTGTGTGTAGCAGTTCGATGCGGGAATCTTCACAAAACACGTCGATATTTAACAAAACTCCTGAGGACACTTGCAATGGAGTAGTTCATCTATAAACTATGCATAACTGTCAAGAATAAATCTATGCAAGAATATACTATAATATATTAAGTTAGGGACAATGCTAGCGAAGCAGGAGCATGTTCGCAACCCTGCTGCCTCCGCCTCCTCGGTACTCTAAGTCAGGGAACCGAACACAGCTAACAGAAGGTCATTTCTCTAATAATCTACAGTCCAGCCCTAAGTTAGGTCAGAATTCACTGTAAGAAAAATTACAAGCAACAAAAGTGTATTGTAAAAATAATAATATCAAAAACTCCACATATCATTTAAACCCTGCAACGGCTACGGTGGAAAACTGATGCTCGGGTCATATCGAGCGACTAAGGAGTTACTGACGAGTCTGAGTGTATCGCTGCGCTCCAGCGTGAGGTTCGTGGTGTTGGGGAAGTGGTAGCTTGTAGCAGCCCAGAGAGTGACTTGTGCTTGCAGCTCAACTGTCATCTTGCATAAACGACTCTCAAAATGGCCGAGCTGCTGCTAGGGGAGGAGTGGGTGGGGACGACTAAGCTTGTGACAAAAATAACACAATTATTGCTTCGTTACGATGAAACTTACTTCAGCGCAGCTTCCATCCTCGAGCAATAAATATGCATTTTCGACTTCATTAATAATAGGTTAAGAGTAAACATAACAATGGCAGTGACAACCATATAAACAATTTCAATGATAGTAAGGCAACACGGTTAGTCTATCTTAATAAACATTGGTATCTCGTCCTTAAAATAAATTGCTTAGACACGTGGTATTGTTCTTTAAATAATTTTAGTGTCTACAGTTAAATACAGTATGTAACAGTGAAAGAAGTTAATTTTATGGAAACTCTCCCCTACTGATAAGTCACCAAGTGGCCAACAAAAGCTCTTAAAAATAAATTTACGCATTTACGCCCAGTGGACCTCAAGAATAAGACTTAACATTACAACATTTAAAATTTAACTTTACCAAAGTTATTATTGATATTAAGATAAAGTGCCTCAATCTGCATCTATAATAAATCTTGTCATGATATATATATAACATTTATATACTACAATATAAATTGTCATTGTTTTAATCATAGTGCCATTCTAATGGCACTCATGGCACCATTCTAGAAAGCAAGCCAGTGGGATGTAATCATTTGCATAAGAAAGATTAAATTCTATTCAATGACTGAAAAGATCTGGATTACTTAACCAATCAAGCAACTCAAACTCTGCAAGGAATAGAATCCAAACCGGACTTTAAACCAAAATTTTAATTCCATCAGCCGTCACTTGTGAATGGCACCAGATATCTTGCAGGCGTGTCCCAAATATGCAAGCACAGTTTTGTTGGTATTTATAAGCTGCAGTACTCTCAAGCATGCAGGTCAGGGCCCACCAAGCACACAACATTGTTGGAGCAATGTCACGTGCCTGGTGGGATGCGTGAAACACCACTCCGGCTAAACTTCCGTAACTCGGCTAAGCGCAGAGTTGCTTTTATAGTGCGGTGCTTAACCTCGGTGCTGCTTCACTTGTAAAGCAAAAGAATGTATGAATTTAGGCACTTTATAATCAGTGTTACCGTTAATGGCAAATTGTCTTCAGTATTTATGGCATAACAATGACTGGAAGGAAAGCTCTACACTCTTCACAATTTCTCGCAAACTGAAATTGGCAATGAAGTTCGTTTAGATCGTCTTTGTTTCTTGAAGTTAAACCAATGATATACTATTTATTAGTAACTTTTTCAAATTCTATAACAAAATAGAAACAAGTGGGTTACTCATTGTTTTGTATCCTTATACAATTTCAAAAGTTACTTGTAATAAGCTGTAACATTTACCAAGTTAAGGAATCTTGATTAAGCTTGGTTTCAGCTGAAGCTGACCACATCATGAGTAACTATGGTAACACTGCGAGACGAGTCCTTTACATAAGTTTCTGCTTGGCACACTCAGGACAGAGGATGTCTGCCCCATCTGTGATGAAGCCCTTGCCCACCAGGGATCCCTTGCACTCGGCGCAGATGAAGCAGTCGTTGTGCCAGTGTCTGTCCTCGAACGAGATGAAGCGAGTGCCGCCGATGCCTGCAATAGAAATGTGCTGTGAGTACTTGGCAATTTATAGTGACTTCTAAAGCCTACTTCTTGTGTTTCTTCCTATATTCGTTTTGCAATACAGTGGACCCCCGGTTAACGAACTTTTTTCATTCCAGTAGTATGTTCAGGTGCCAGTACTGACCGAATTTGTTCCCATAAGAATATTGTGAAGTAGATTAGTCCATTTCAGACCCCCAAACATACACGTACAAACGCACTTACATAAATACACTTACATAATTGGTCGCATTTGGAGGTGATCGTTAAAGCGGGGGTTCACTGTACAATGGATTTTTGTTAGGAAATGCCTCTTTCATTGTAAAAAAAAAAAAAAAAAATAGAAGACTTAAGAACCACTAATTTTCAAGGAAAGCGGTTAGCAAGACTTGACTTCTGAAGGTGGAAGCGGTTGTACTGTGAAGGATCACTGCAGATATTGTATTTGCAAGGGTCGAGGTGTGATGTCTGTTCACTTGTGACAACTAAACTATTAAATGAATGATGGTGAATGTAATAACCTCCAGGTCACACTACCATGGTGGAATATGTCCAGTGTGGCAAAATAAAAGCATTTTAGGTTACTTTGAGAGGTGAGGGGCCTTGGAAGATTGAAATTGTTAACTGTGTGTTTTGTTATTAGCTGATCAGTTTTTCAGAAATTTTTGTGTTCACGTTCCCTCCGAATTCTGATTTGCCTTTGCTGTTAATTACTTTCACTTTTGTAAACATAATTTTTCTTCCTCAGAATCCGTCGAGTACATGAATACAGATTGATCGATCAAGTCTATCCTTTATTATACCACGATTTGTTCTTATAATTCTTAATGCTTTACTTTACAACTCATTATGTTAACACCCTTTACATTAAAACCCAGTATATTAAAACATTATGATATCATCCATTAGTTCTAAGTTATATATGTCTTTGTTATTGTATAGAATCAGCCCAGAGCCACCTGCCTGATCAGCCTATAGCACAGTATTGTATGTCGAGACGACATACATAACATGACTGAGCTGTCAGCATAGTTGCTGATCCCTACATGTGTTGTATAGCTTATCTGAGTACCATAGTTAGCACCATCCATATGTTTTACATACACGATCCCTTGCTAGGCCTAGGGACTAGTTTGTGTGATGTCACATGATGCGCATGTGTGCGTGAGAGCCTCTGTAACTCTCTCAGTTCCAGTTAGACCTACCGAGCAGCAACAGGCAGGCGCTGGGCCTCCCTTTACCACAGTCTGATAATATAAGTGTTCCCATCCAACAAGTGTGTTTAACTATAACCATCTAATCTCCAACGAACCCCGACGACACCTACTGACATTTCATTATGAAGGAAAGGGCCCATCCAGGAGGCGGTCTTGATGTCACTGAAAAACTTTTGATTTAAGGAACTGGAATTACCATTATCTTAAAATCAAACCAGACAACCTCCCCCCCTCTCAACCATTCACATTTTTCAATGCTGTATAACCTCCAATATACATAAGAACATAACATAAGAAAGAAGGAACACTGCAACAGGCCTACTGACCCGTGTGAAGCAGGTCCATGTCACCCCCCGGCCTAGAACAATGACCACCTAGTCAGGTCACTTCCACTTAAGGAAGGAGCACGGCACCAGACCTAGTAGCCCAAGCTAGTCAGGTCCAACTCACACCCACCCACACCCACTCATGTATTTATCCAACCTATTTTTAAAACTACACAACGTCTTAGCGTCTATGACGGTACTCTGGAGTTTGTTCCACTCATCCACAACTCTATTACCAAACCAGTGCTTTCCTATATCCTTTCTGAATCTTAATTTTTCCAACTTGAAACCATTGCTACAAGTCCTGTCTTGACTGGAAATTTTCAGTACGCTATTTACATCCCCTTTATTTATTCCTGTTTTCCATTTATACACCTCGATCATATCCCCCCTAATTCTACGCCTTTCGAGAGAGTGCAGATTCAGGGCCTCAGTCTATCCTCATAGGGAAGATTTCTGATACATGGGATCAACTTTGTCATCCTCCTTTGTACATTTTCCAGAGAATTTATATCCATTCTGTAATACGGTGACCAGAACTGTGCAGCATAGTAATACTAGTACCAGTACTAGTACCAGTACTAGCACCATTCTGTAATACAGTGACCAGAACTGAGCAGCATAGTCTAAATGAGGCCTAACCAAGGATATATAGAGTTGAAGAACAACCTGGGGACTTCTATTATTTATACTTCTAGATATGAAACCAAGAATTCTGTTAGCTTTGCCAACACTTATGCACTGTTCTACTAACACCCTACCATACATTTCTCTAACTTATTTTTAAAGCTACCAAAGGCATTAACTTCAAGTGACACTACTTGGCAGTGTGTTCCCATTCATCTCCTGCTAAACCAGTACCTTCCTATATACAGTGGACCCCCGCCTTACGATCAGCTCCCAACTCGACCAATTATGCAAGTGTATTTATGTAAATGCTTTTGTACGTGTATGTTTGGGGGTCTGAAACAGACTAATCTAATTCACAATGTGTATTTCTTATGGGACCAAATTCAGTCGGTAACGGCACCTGAACAGACTTCTGGAATAAAATAATATCGTAAGGTGGGAGTCCACTGTACTTTCTAATCTGAATTTCACTGTTTTGAATCCGTTGTTTTGCCATGTTTAAAAAGTTACCAAGTGGACTGTCAAAAATATTATTTATCTGTTAATACCGACTCTTTCATAGAAGAGAGAATTTCTTCGTAAAAATGCTTTGTATGCCGTATGCTTTAGTAGGTTTGATTTATTAAAACACACAGTGTATGCAAAACTTTTTGAGTCATATTTTTTTGCGCCATACTGGTTGACAGTACCTGTCAACGGAACTGTGTTCTGAAATTGACGTTCACTTCTCACCTGTGATAGGCTTGGCACAGGCAGTGCAGCGCTTGGCAAACAACTCGCCGAAGCAGTCGGCACAATAAGGCTTGTCATCCCTGGAGGTGAAGCGTTGGCCGGCCAGGGAAGCGTTGCAGTTGGTGCACGTGAAGCACTCTCGGTGCCAGGGTTCGTTCTTGTATGTCACGCCCCCGGAAGTGATGATCTGAAAGCAGTGACCATAGAGGTTAATATCTGGACAATAGACTAGTACAGGAGGACCCTGCTTATACAGCAGGTTAAGTACCAGGCTACTGCTGTACAGGAGGACCCTGCTTATACAGCAGGTTAAGTACCAGGCTACTGCTGTACAGGAGGACCGTGCTTATACAGCAGGTTAAGTACCAGGCTACTGCTGTACAGGAGGACCCTGCTTATACAGCAGGTTAAGTACCAGGCTACTGCTGTACAGGAGGACCCTGCTTATACAGCAGGTTAAGTACCAGGCTACTGCTGTACAGGAGGACTCTGCTTATACAGTAGGTTAAGTACCAGGCTACTGCTGTACAGGAGGACCCTGCTTATACAGTAGGTTAAGTACCAGGCTACTGCTGTACAGGAGGACCCTGCTTATACAGTAGGTTAAGTACCAGGCTACTGCTGTACAGGAGGACCCTGCTTATACAGCAGGTTAAGTACCAGGCTACTGCTGTACAGGAGGACCCTGCTTATACAGTAGGTTAAGTACCAGGCTACTGCTGTACAGGAGGACCCTGCTTATACAGTAGGTTAAGTACCAGGCTACTGCTGTACAGGAGGACCCTGCTTATACAGCAGGTTAGGCTCCAGGCTACTGCTGTACAGGAGGACCCTGCTTATACAGCAGGTTAGGCTCCAGGCTACTGCTGTACAGGAGGACCCTGCTTATACAGTAGGTTAGGCTCCAGGCTACTGCTGTACAGGAGGACCCTGCTTATACAGGAGGTTAGGCTCCAGGCTACTGCTGTACTGGAGGACCCTGCTTATACAGCAGGTAATGTGTCCAGTCCCTGGACACATTATGTACCTCTGTAATGTTGAGGTACAGTCCCTGGACACATTATGTACCTCTGTAATGTTGAGGTACAGTCCCTGGACCCATTATGTACCTCTGTAATGTTGAGGTACAGTTCCTGGACCCATTATGTACCTCTGTAATGTTGAGGTACAGTCCCTGGACCCATTATGTACCTCTGTAATGTTGAGGTACAGTCCCTGGACCCATTATGTACCTCTGTAATGTTGAGGTACAGTCCCTGGACCCATTATGTACCTCTGTAATGTTGAGGTACAGTTCCTGGACACATTATGTACCACTAATATGAGGGAACCATGAACTATGTGATGTATTTCTTCGCCTGACGTGACCACGTCACTGTCATGTCACTGGCCATGTCACTGTCACATCACTGACCACATTACTGCTGGCCGCACACAAACTGACATACAAACCACAGCCCGGTTGGTCAGGTACTGACTCTAGGTACTCTCGGTGTTGTGGCTTTTTCCTCCTTTCTCGTCACATTTTAGTATGGTATTCTCCTTGAATATAATACAATACAAATAAAGAGAAGAATGGAGGGTGATGTGAACAAGGGTAAGCAATTTTATTTAGAAAATTAAGACACATGTGCAACATCTGGTATCTTTATCGTAGACGTTTCTCCATCCAGTGGCTTTATCAACACAAATTCTAGGACATAATCTGAACACAGTAGAAGTATATATAAAAGATGAGGTAATCAGTCCCTCAACCTTAGAGTTGGTGGGGAGAGCACCGTAGTCGTGAAGATTCTGAATCGTCACGACTACGGTGCTCTTCACGCCAACTCCAAGGTTGAGGGACAGATTACCTCATATAGATCTACTGTCTTCAAATTACACCCTAGAATTTGTATGGATCAAGCCACTGGATGGTGAAACGTCTGCAGTAAAGATACCCAGATGTCGCACGCGTGTCTAAGTATCATGTTGTTGGTATTGGGTACCACTCTTATACAAATATATAATTGTGTAGAAATGTCGTGTAAACAATCTAGAAGTAATTATGAACAATGTAGGTACCTGCAGGAGTTATTATGAACAATGTAGGTACCTGCAGGAGTTATTATGAACAATGTAGGTACCTGCAGGAGTTATTATGAACAATGTAGGTACCTGCAGGAGTCATTATGAACAATGTAGGTACCTGCAGGAGTCATTATGAACAATGTAGGTACCTGCAGGAGTCATTATGAACAATGTAGGTACCTGCAGGAGTCATTATGAACGATCTAGGTACCTGCAGGAGTAATTATGAACGATCTAAGTACCTGCAGGAGTCATTATGAACGATCTAGGTACCTGCAGGAGTCATTATGAACAATGTAGGTACCTGCAGGAGTCATTATGAATGATCTAGGTACCTGCAGGAGTCATTATGAACGATCTAGGTACCTGCAGGAGTCATTATGAACAATGTAGGTACCTGCAGGAGTCATTATGAACGATCTAGGTACCTGCAGGAGTAATTATGAACGATCTAAGTACCTGCAGGAGTCATTATGAACGATCTAGGTACCTGCAGGAGTCATTATGAACAATGTAGGTACCTGCAGGAGTCATTATGAATGATCTAGGTGCCTGCAGGAGTCATTATGAACAATGTAGGTACCTGCAGGAGTCATTATGAATGATCTAAGTACCTGCAGGAGTCATTATGAACAATGTAGGTACCTGCAGGAGTCATTATGAATGATCTAGGTACCTGCAGGAGTTATTATGAACAATCTAGGTACCTGCAAGAGTAAGTATGAACAGTCTAGGTACCTGCAAGAGTAAGTATGAACAGTCTAGGTACCTGCAAGAGTAAGTATGAACAGTCTAGGTACCTGCAAGAGTAAGTATGAACAGTCTAGGTACCTGCAAGAGTAAGTATGAACAATCTAGGTACCTGCAAGGTAAGTATGAACAGTCTAGGTACCTGCAAGAGTAAGTATGAACAGTCTAGGTACCTGCAAGAGTAAGTATGAACAGTCTAGGTACCTGCAAGAGTAAGTATGAACAGTCTAGGTACCTGCAAGAGTAAATATGAACAGTCTAGGTACCTGCAAGAGTAAGTATGAACAGTCTAGGTACCTGCAAGAGTAAGTATGAACAGTCTAGGTACCTGCAAGAGTAAGTATGAACAATCTAGGTACCTGCAAGAGTAAGTATGAACAGTCTAGGTACCTGCAAGAGTAAGTATGAACAATCTAGGTACCTGCAAGAGTAAGTATGAACAGTCTAGGTACCTGCAAGAGTAAGTATGAACAGTCTAGGTACCTGCAAGAGTAAGTATGAACAGTCTAGGTACCTGCAAGAGTAAGTATGAACAGTTTAGGTACCTGCAAGAGTAAGTATGAACAGTCTAGGTACCTGCAAGAGTAAGTATGAACAGTCTAGGTACCTGCAAGAGTAAATATGAACAGTCTAGGTACCTGCAAGAGTAAGTATGAACAATCTAGGTACCTGCAAGAGTAAGTATGAACAGTCTAGGTACCTGCAAGAGTAAGTATGAACAGTCTAGGTACCTGCAAGAGTAAGTATGAACAATCTAGGTACCTGCAAGAGTAAGTATGAACAGTCTAGGTACCTGCAAGAGTAAGTATGAACAATCTAGGTACCTGCAAGAGTAAGTATGAACAATCTAGGTACCTGCAAGAGTAAATATGAACAGTCTAGGTACCTGCAAGAGTAAGTATGAACAGTCTAGGTACCTGCAAGAGTAAGTATGAACAGTCTAGGTACCTGCAAGAGTAAGTATGAACAGTCTAGGTACCTGCAAGAGTAAGTATGAACAGTCTAGGTACCTGCAAGAGTAAATATGAACAGTCTAGGTACCTGCAAGAGTAAGTATGAACAATCTAGGTACCTGCAAGAGTAAGTATGAACAGTCTAGGTACCTGCAAGAGTAAGTATGAACAGTCTAGGTACCTGCAAGAGTAAGTATGAACAATCTAGGTACCTGCAAGAGTAAGTATGAACAATCTAGGTACCTGCAAGAGTAAGTATGAACAGTCTAGGTACCTGCAAGAGTAAGTATGAACAATCTAGGTACCTGCAAGAGTAAGTATGAACAATCTAGGTACCTGCAAGAGTAAGTATGAACAATCTAGGTACCTGCAAGAGTAAGTATGAACAATCTAGGTACCTGCAAGAGTAAGTATGAACAATCTAGGTACCTGCAAGAGTAAGTATGAACAGTCTAGGTACCTGCAAGAGTAAGTATGAACAATCTAGGTACCTGCAAGACTAAGTATGAACAATCTAGGTACCTGCAAGAGTAAGTATGAACAGTCTAGGTACCTGCAAGAGTAAGTATGAACAATCTAGGTACCTGCAAGAGTAAGTATGAACAATCTAGGTACCTGCAAGAGTAAGTATGAACAATCTAGGTACCTGCAAGAGTAAGTATGAACAGTCTAGGTACCTGCAAGAGTAAGTATGAACAGTCTAGGTACCTGCAAGAGTAAGTATGAACAGTTTAGGTACCTGCAAGAGTAAGTATGAACAGTCTATGTACCTGCAAGAGTAAGTATGAACAGTCTAGGTACCTGCAAGAGTAAGTATGAACAGTCTAGGTACCTGCAAGAGTAAGTATGAACAGTCTAGGTACCTACAGAAGTCATTATGAACCTGTTTTAACAACCTGATTCACAAAACGGAGTATCAATGTATATAAAAAAATTTAGATTAAGATTTTTTTGTTCTAAGCTAAAATTCAATAAAAATTAATGTAGTGTGTTTTTCACAACTGTAGAAAGCAATTAATCAAAATATTAATTCTATTAATTCTACCATGTCAATTTATAGCCTCAGGAATTTTTCAATAACGTACAATACCGCCTCTCCTCACTTAACGACGGAGTTGCGTTCCTACGTTGGTAAACAAATTCGTCGCTAAGTGAGGAGCATACTATAATGGTAGTGGGTTTGTGTTAATTTAATATGTTTATCATGTACCCCATATCCATCCTGTGGGTGGTAGTTAAAAGATTACAGAGGTACATAATGGGTCCAGGAACTAGACCCCAAAGTTATAATAGCTGAGCAAGTTACAAAGGTAATGAACTCCAGGTACATCTGGTTGTGTCAGCCATCTTTGATATTGTTTTAATGTCACCTTTGGACCATTTATAATATTTCTGGTATATTTTTAAATGTTTATACAGTAGTGTACTGTATATTGTAATAAACAGAATAGAGGAAATCAGCTCTAATATACATTATTTAGGTGTGAGTACTGGTCAGAGAGCTTGTCGTAAGTCTGAGGCGTCGGTAAACGAGTACGTCGCTAAGTGAGGAGAGGCTGTATGGTAAATACAAAGACCAGTAACATAATTGTTAATTATCATTATCACGTACAGTGGACCCCCGGTTAACGATATTTTTTCACTCCAGAAGTATGTTCAGGTGCCAGTACTGACCGAATTTGTTCCCATAAGGAATATTGTGAAGTAGATTAGTCCATTTCAGACCCCCAAACATACACGTACAAACGCACTTACATAAATACACTTACATAATTGGTCGCATTCGGAGGTGATCGTTAAGCAGGGGTCCACTGTATTATGTATTGTATATAAGTGTATGTGCTATACTTTTAAACAACTTGCCGTGCAGTATAATCTAACGGGGCCACCAACATATATGCCGTGCCCACCGTTGACTGAAATGTCACTATCAGGTGCATGACTGTAATCATTACTAATACTACTAATAATAATTACCTTGCTACACTTGACACAACGTGTAGCAAACTTCTCCTCATAGCAAGCAGCGCAGTATATCTCCAGGTCCCTGGGGATGAAGCTCTTGGTACCAATGGGAGTCTTGCACACACAACAGCAGAAACACTTCTCGTGCCACTGTCGAGCCTTGTACTCCATCTTCTTGTTACCTGTTGAAGTTTGTGATACAGTTAAACAGGTGCTTAGAATGTGGCATTCTGGGTGATGGAACACAGACACAGGGAGAGGTTGTGACAGTGTCTGCATGATGCAACACACACAGGGAGAAGTTGTGGCAGGGTCTGCAAGATACAATACAGACACAGGGAGAGGCTGTGACAGGGTCTGCAAGGTACAATACACACACAGGGAGAGGCTGTGACAGGGTCTGCGAGGTACAATACACACACAGGGAGAGGTTGTGGCAGGGTCTGTGAGGTACAATACAGACACAGGGAGAGGCTGTGACAGGGTCTGCAAGGTACAATACACACACAGGGAGAGGCTGTGACAGGGTCTGCAAGGTACAATACACACACAGGGAGAGGCTGTGACAGGGTCTGCAAGGTACAATACACACACAGGGAGAGGTTGTGGAGGGTCTGTGAGGTACAACACACACAGAGGGAGAGTCTGAAACAGGTTTTGATCTAAAAAGAACGCCTGAGAACAAACTTCATTAGCAAATAGCCCACAAGGGTTTAACGCTTCCAAGATCATAATACAAAAAACACAGGGCCGGGAGGTGTAGGGGATGGGGTCACTCTTTTGGCTATTAACGGCTGACATCTGAAAATTTTTTAGTGTCTTTATCTCTACTAGACAACAGAACAATTTACTCATATTGGGACAGTAAGCCAATATTCGTTTTTATATGTAGAAAATTAAACCAGTTAACCCATCAGGAAGATAATTCCCTGGAAAACCATCGCTGTTGTTAAAATTTATGGTTTTTGCATTAAAAGTGTTAAATTTTGTGTTAAAAGGGCCATTCTCTGCCTCACCTTACATACCTGTATAAAACAGTAACTAACAGTACTAAGATACTATCTTGTTAATGGACCAAGATACTATCTTGTTAATGGACCAAGATACTATCTTGTTAATGGACCAAGATACTATCTTGTTAATGGACCAAGATACTATCTTGTTAATAGACCAAGATACTATCTTGTTAATGGACCAAGATACTATCTTGTTAATGGACCAAGATACTATCTTGTTAATGGACCAAGATACTATCTTGTTAATGGACCAAGATAGCAAGATACTGTCATGTGGAATATCCAGGTGTCTTGATTTGTAGACGTTCTGCCATCGAGTGACTGTCAATACACGGCCATAATGTGACGACTGAAGAGGTATATACAGGTGAGGTTATCAGTCCCTCACTCTTGGAGTTGGTGCTCATCACCAAGACTGTGGGACTGATTACCTCGCCTTCTGTGTGTAGTTCTACAGTCTTCACATTATGTGTATGTATTGATAATAAGAAAACAAAACGGTCTACAAATCAATATACCCAGATACTGAACATGTGTCTAATTCTAGATCTTGTCGGTATTGTGTACCATTCTTGTACACCTTTCTTGTTAAGAAACTGAGATACTGTCTTAAGAGGCCAAGGAAGTATCTTGCTAGAGGCAAGATACTGGGTTAGAATCCTGGCTCCTGGCTGTGTCCTTGGCTCCTGGCCCCTGGCTGTGTCCTTGGCTCCTGGCCCCTGGCTGTGTCCTTGGCTCCTGGCCCCTGGATGTGTCCTTGGCTCCTGGCCCTGGCTGTGTCCTTGGCTCCTGGCCCCTGGCTGTGTCCTTGGCTCCTGGCCCCTGGCTGTGTCCTTGGCTCCTGGCCCCTGGCTGTGTCCTTGGCTCCTGGCCCCTGGCTGTGTCCTTGGCTCCTGGCCCCTGGCTGTGTCCTTGGCTCCTGGCCCCTGGCTGTGTCCTTGGCTCCTAGCCCCTGGCTGTGTCCTTGGCTCCTGGCCCCTGGCTGTGTCCTTGGCTCCTAGCCCCTGGCTGTGTCTTTGGCTCCTGGCCTCTGGCTGTGTCCTTGGCTCCTGGACTCTGGCTGTGTCCTTGGCTCCTGGCCCCTGGCTGTGTCCTTGGCTCCTGGCCCTGGCTGTGTCCTTGGCTCCTGGCCCCTGGCTGTGTCCTTGGCTCCTGGCCTCTGGCTGTGTCCTTGGCTCCTGGCCTCTGGCTGTGTCCTTGGCTCCTGGCCCCTGGCTGTGTCTTTGGCTCCTGGCCTCTGGCTGTGTCCTTGGCTCCTGGCCTCTGGCTGTGTCCTTGGCTCCTGGCCTCTGGCTGTGTCCTTGGCTCCTGGCCCCTGGCTGTGTCCTTGGCTCCTGGCCCCTGGCTGTGTCCTTGGCTCCTGGCCCCTGGCTGTGTCCTTGGCTCCTGGCCTCTGGCTGTGTCCTTGGCTCCTGGCCTCTGGCTGTGTCCTTGGCTCCTGGCCCCTGGCTGTGTCTTTGGCTCCTGGCCTCTGGCTGTGTCCTTGGCTCCTGGCCCCTGGCTGTGTCCTTGGCTCCTGGCCCCTGGCTGTGTCCTTGGCTCCTGGCCCCTGGCTGTGTCCTTGGCTCCTGGCCCCTGGCTGTGTCCTTGGCTCCTGGCCCCTGGCTGTGTCCTTGGCTCCTGGCCCTGGCTGTGTTCTTGGCTCCTGGCCCCTGGCTGTGTCCTTGGCTCCTGGCCCCTGGCTGTGTCCTTGGCTCCTGGCCCCTGGCTGTGTCCTTGGCTCCTGGCCCCTGGCTGTGTCCTTGGCTCCTGGCCCCTGGCTGTGTCCTTGGCTCCTGGCCCCTGGCTGTGTCCTTGGCTCCTAGCCCCTGGCTGTGTCCTTGGCTCCTGGCCCCTGGCTGTGTCCTTGGCTCCTGGCCCCTGGCTGTGTCCTTGGCTCCTGGCCCCTGGCTGTGTCCTTGGCTCCTGGCCCCTGGCTGTGTCCTTGGCTCCTGGCCCCTGGCTGTGTCCTTGGCTCCTGGCCCCTGGCTGTGTCCTTGGCTCCTGGCCCCTGGCTGTGTCCTTGGCTCCTGGCCCCCGGCTGTGTCCTTGGCTCCTGGCCCCTGGCTGTGTCCTTGGCTCCTAGCCCCTGGCTGTGTCCTTGGCTCCTGGCCCTGGCTGTGTCCTTGGCTCCTGGCCCCTGGCTGTGTCCTTGGCTCCTGGCCCCTGGATGTGTCCTTGGCTCCTGGCCCCTGGCTGTGTCCTTGGCTCCTGGCCCCTGGCTGTGTCCTTGGCTCCTGGCCCCTGGCTGTGTCCTTGGCTCCTGGCCCCTGGCTGTGTCCTTGGCTCCTGGCCCCTGGCTGTGTCCTTGGCTCCTGGCCCCTGGCTGTGTCCTTGGCTCCTGGCCCTGGCTGTGTCCTTGGCTCCTGGCCCCTGGCTGTGTCCTTGGCTCCTGGCCCCTGGCTGTGTCCTTGGCTCCTGGCCCCTGGCTGTGTCCTTGGCTCCTGGCCCCTGGCTGTGTCCTTGGCTCCTGGCCCCTGGCTGTGTCCTTGGCTCCTGGCCCCTGGCTGTGTCCTTGGCTCCTGGCCCCTGGATGTGTCCTTGGCTCCTGGCCCCTGGCTGTGTCCTTGGCTCCTGGCCCCTGGCTGTGTCCTTGGCTCCTGGCCCCTGGCTGTGTCCTTGGCTCCTGGCCCCTGGCTGTGTCCTTGGCTCCTGGCCCCTGGCTGTGTCCTTGGCTCCTGGCTCCTGGCTGTGTCCTTGGCTCCTGGCCCCTGGTGTGTCCCCTTGGGTCCTGGCCCCTGGCTGTGTCCTTGGCTCCTGGCCCCTGGCTGTGTCCTTGGCTCCTGGCTCCTGGCTGTGTCCTTGGCTTTCCCGGCTCCTGGCTGTGTCCTTGGCTCCTGGCCCCTGGCTGTGTCCTTGGCTCCTGGCCCCTGGCTGTGTCCTTGGCTCCTGGCCCCTGGCTGTGTCCTTGGCTCCTGGCCCCTGACTGTGTCCTTGGCTCCTGGCCCCTGGCTGTGTCCTTGGCTCCTGGCCCTGGCTGTGTCCTTGGCTCCTGGCCCCTGGCTGTGTCCTTGGCTCCTGGCCCCTGGCTGTGTCCTTGGCTCCTGGCCCCTGGCTGTGTCCTTGGCTCCTGGCCCCTGGCTGTGTCCTTGGCTCCTGGCCCCTGACTGTGTCCTTGGCTCCTGGCCCCTGGCTGTGTCCTTGGCTCCTGGCCCCTGGCTGTGTCCTTGGCTCCTGGCCCCTGGCTGTGTCCTTGGCTCCTGGCCCCTGGCTGTGTCCTTGGCTCCTGGCCCCTGGCTGTGTCCTTGGCTCCTGGCCCCTGGCTGTGTCCTTGGCTCCTGGCTCCTGGCTGTGTCCTTGGCTCCTGGCTCCTGGCTGTGTCCTTGGCTCCTGGCCCCTGGCTGTGTCCTTGGCTCCTGGCCCCTGGCTGTGTCCTTGGCTCCTGGCCCCTGGCTGTGTCCTTGGCTCCTGGCCCCTGGCTGTGTCCTTGGCTCCTGGCCCCTGGCTGTGTCCTTGGCTCCTGGCCCCTGGCTGTGTCCTTGGCTCCTGGCCCCTGGCTGTGTCCTTGGCTCCTGGCCCCTGGCTGTGTCCTTGGCTCCTGGCCCCTGGCTTGTGTCCTTGGCTCCTGGCCCCTGGCTGTGTCCTTGGCTCCTGGCCCCTGGCTGTGTCCTTGGCTCCTGGCCCCTGGATGTGTCCTTGGCTCCTGGCCCCTGGCTGTGTCCTTGGCTCCTGGCCCCTGGCTGTGTCCTTGGCTCCTGGCCCCTGGATGTGTCCTTGGCTCCTGGCCCCTGGCTGTGTCCTTGGCTCCTGGCCCCTGGCTGTGTCCTTGGCTCCTGGCCCCTGGCTGTGTCCTTGGCTCCTGGCCCCTGGATGTGTCCTTGGCTCCTGGCCCCTGGATGTGTCCTTGGCTCCTGGCCCCTGGCTGTGTCCTTGGCTCCTGGCTGTGTCCTTGGCTCCTGGCTGTGTCCTTGGCTCCTGGCCCCTGGCTGTGTCCTTGGCTCCTGGCTGTGTCCTTGGCCCCTGGCTGTGTCCTTGGCTCCTGGCCCCTGGCTGTGTCCTTGGCTCCTGGCCCCTGGCTGTGTCCTTGGCTCCTGGCCCCTGGCTGTGTCCTTGGCTCCTGGCCCCTGGCTGTGTCCTTGGCTCCTGGCCCCTGGCTGTGTCCTTGGCTCCTGGCCCCTGGCTGTGTCCTTGGCTCCTGGCCCCTGGCTGTGTCCTTGGCTCCTGGCCCTGGCTGTGTGTCCTTGGCTCCTGGCCCTGGCTGTGTCCTTGGCTCCTGGCCCCTGGCTGTGTCCTTGGCTCCTGGCCCCTGGCTGTGTCCTTGGCTCCTGGCTGTGTCCTTGGCTCCTGGCCCCTGGCTGT